TTGAAAGTTTGAGGAGTGAAAAGGGAGAAGAGGTTTTTTTAGAACCAGGGTGGAGGAGGAGAGGAGAGTACTACAGAACTTCTATAAAAAGATCGAGGATGTCAGAAGAGGAAATAGAGGAGGGAGAAATAAATCACGAAAGAAAAAAAGTAACGATAATGAAATAATGATTTTTAATTTATCTGATAAAACACTTTTACCAATGGAAGAGAAAATTTTAAGAAAAGGTTTTAAATATGCCCCCAGCTGTCTGATTAATAAATTTGAGGCCTACATTGATAAAAATAGATTTACAAGGAAATTGTGCTTAAAAAAGTTTTTTAATAAAAATAATATATTAGAAAGTAACATAGAGGAAAATATAATTCAGGAAAAATTAGATGGGAATAATGCGATTAAACACACAAGTTTTAAGAAGAAATCTACATTTAATCCTCAATACCTTAAATCACAAAGTATAAAGGTATTTGAGAAAGCGTGTCTTGAGGAACTATATAAAGTAAAACCTCTTTCACAGTATCAACAAAATATGACCCTTAAAGAAAAACAAATACTTAAAGATTTAAAACAAAATGCCTCTATTATAATTAAGCCGGCGGATAAAGGGGGCGGAGTAGTAATTATGGATAATGAAGCCTATATAAATGAAATTAGAAGACAGCTTCAAGACACCACTACTTATCAAAAGCTGAACAAAAATCCCACTGTTGAAATCAAAATAAAATACGAGAATTTTTTACAAGAGGGCCTTGAGAACGAGATATTAGATAAGAATGAGTTTTTATTTTTACAAACAAAATATCCGAAAATACCAGTATTTTATGGTCTGCCAAAAATTCATAAAAGCATAGAAAATCTGCCTGGCAGACCCATTGTTTCAGGGATAGATTCCATTTTATCCTCTCTATCCCAATTTATTGATTATTTTCTCCAGCCGTTAGTAAAAACTCGTCCCTCTTACTTACAAGACTCTATGAGCCTTTTAAAGATTTTACAAAATAAAAAATGGGAAAAAAGCTTGTTATTGATCACTAGTGATGCACCCTGTACCTCACAGTCAGCAGACACATTCCAGCCAATTAGCAGCACAGCCTCCCTAGCAGACCCTCCCACCTACTGGAACGCATCCATTTTACATTCATTCTCAAGCTGCATGCTTAGTGAGAGGAGGGAAAGTGTAGCTGCTGTTGATTAGATAGGGAAATGCATAGCTAGGTTAGGGTATACAGTGTCCAAAACAGTCCTGAAGGACTCATCTGATCTCTGCTGTAAGGACAGCACCCCAAAAAGCCCTTTTTAGGGCTAGAACATCAGTCTGCTTTTTTTTTTTTTCTGTGTAATGTAATTGCAGTTGCCTGCCTGCCAGCTTCTGTGTCAGGCTCACAGTGGATACTGTGCCCAGTGCCACAACTCACTCACTGGTGTCACAATAGCTTGCATTTAAAAAAAATAAAAATAATTTCACTATAATAGATTGAATAGCAGTTAGTTGTCTGCCAGCTTCTGTGTCAGGCTCACAGTGGATACTGTGCCCAGTGCCACCACTCACTCACTGGTGTCACAATAGCTTGCATTTAAAAACAAAAAACTTTTTTCACTGTTATAGATTGAATAGCAGTTAGTTGTCTTAAAGAGGGTGTGTCAGGCTCGCAGTGGATACTGTACCCAGTGCCACCACTCACTCACTGGTGTCACAATAGCTTGCATTTAAAAACAAAAACCTTTTTTCACTGTTATAGATTGAATAGCAGTTAGTTGTCTGCCAGCGTCTGTGTCAGGCTCACAGTGGATACTGTGCCTAGTGCCACCACTCACTCACTGGTGTCACAATAGCTTGCATTTAAAACCCAAAAACTTTTTTCACTGTTATAGATTGAATAGCAGTTAGTTGTCTGCCTTCTCTATCCTGCTCTGTGTCAGTGTGTATCAGGGGCTCTGAGGACAGGTGTCAATCCATATCTGCCAAGTGACCCTATGTAGGAGGAACAGTCTCTATTCTGCAGTGTGTCAGTGTGTATCAGGGGCTCTGAGGACAGGTGTCAATCCATATCTGCCAAGTGACCCTATGTAGGAGGAACAGTCTCTATTCTGCTCTGTGTCAGTGTGTATCAGGGGCTCTGAGGACAGGTGTCAATCCATGTCTGCCAAGTGACCCTATGTAGGAGGAACAGTCTATATTCTGCTCTGTGTCAGTGTGTATCATGATCTCTGAGGACAGGTGTCAATCCATATCTGCCAAGTGACCCTATGTAGGAGGAACAGTCCCTATTCTGCTCTGTGTCAGTGTGTATCAGGGATCCTTGGGACAGGTGTCAATCCATATCTGCCAAGTGACCCTATGTAGGGGGAACAGTCTCCATTCTGCTCTGTGTCAGTGTGTATCATGGTCTCTGAGGACAGGTGTCAATCCATATCTGCCAAGTGACCCTATGTAGGGGGAACAGCCCCTATTCTGCTCTGTGTCAGTGTGTATCATGGTCTCTGAGGACAGGTGTCAATCCATATCTGCCAAGTGACCCTATGTAGGGGGAATAGTCTCTATTCTGCTCTGTGTCAATGTGTATCAGGGGCTCTGAGGACAGGTGTCAATCCATATCTGCCAAGTGACCCTATGTAGGGGAACAGTCTCTATTCTGCTCTGTGTCAGTGTGTATCATGATCTCTGAGGACAGGTGTCAATCCATATCTGCCAAGTGTCCATATCTGCCAAGTGACCCTATGTAGGGGAAACAGTCTTTATTCTGCTCTGTGTCAGTGTGTATCATGATCTCTGAGGACAGGTGTCAATCCATATCTGCCAAGGGACCCTATGTAGGAGGAACAGTCTCTATTCTGCTCTGTGTCAGTGTGTATCAGGGGCTCTGAGGACAGGTGTCAATCCATATCTGCTAAGTGACCCTATGTAGGAGGAACAGTCTCTATTCTGCTCTGTGTCAGTGTGTATCAGGGGCTCTGAGGACAGGTGTCAATCCATATGTCAAGGTGTCAATATGTCATATGTCAGGTGTCAATCTATATCCATTGTGATTTAGGAATGTTAGGTGATTTCTGCCCTTTATGGATTAAGACCAGACTTTGCATCAACTGTGTAATTTTCCATGGGAGTTTTGCCATGGATCCCCCTCCGGCATGCCACAGTCCAGGTGCTAGTCCCCTTGAAACAACTTTTCCATCACTATTGTGGCCAGAAAGAGTCCCTGTGTGTTTTAAAATTCGCCTGCCCATTGAAGTCTATGGCGGTTCGCCGGTTCGTGAACATTTGCGGAAGTTCGCGTTCGCCGTTCGCGAACCGAAAATTTCGGGTTCGCGACATCACTATTGATCACCTGTGATGTTACCAGCCTCTATACAATAATTGAACATTTAAAAGGAATAGAGGCAGTTACTTTTTTCTTGAAACAATCTGGAGAATTTTTGGACACACAAATTGATTTCATTGTTAAAGGAATACAGATGATTTTAACCAACAATTATTTTTGGTTTGATGATGACTTTTATCTTCAGACACGTGGTTCTGCCATGGGGACCAGGTTTGCCCCCAGCTATGCTAATTTATTTATGTCATATTGGAAAGATTCTTATATATATCAGAGACATGGCTAGGGAGCAAACCTGGTCCTATATAGTCGTTACATAGATGATATTTTTATAATTTGGAAAGGGTCCAAAGCAGATTTTAATTCATTTTTTGATTATATTAATTTTAATGATTGGGGCATAAAATTAACCAAAACTGTGAGTGCTAAATCTGTTGATTTTTTACATCAATATTTATATTTCGGATAACAATTTTAAAACTCGATCTTTTTTTAAACAAGTATATGTTAATAGTTTTATTGAAACTGGTAGCTGTCATTATGACCTATGGCTCCAAAATATTCCAAAGGGTCAATTTCTACGAATAAAAAGAAATTGCTCGGATCAAACTGATTTTATAACACAGTCGTCATTTTTAAAAGAACAGTTTCTACAGAAGGGGTACTGTGAAGATAACCTACAGAAGGATATTGATAATATTAAAGACTTAGATAGGTCACAACTATTGTGTTATAAAAATAAAAAAAGAGAACAGAACACACAGGAGAAACAAATCCCGTTTATTTTTAATTATTGTAGCAATATTGGGACATTAAAAAAGATTATAAATAAAAACTGGAATATTTTAAAACAAGACCATGATATGCATGAATTTATTGGAGATAACCCGAAATTTATTTTTAGGGGAGCAAAGAATTTTAAACAAATTTTTTTTTTCTTTTTTTTTTTTTCCTTTTTTTCTTCTTTTTAAACAAATTTTAACGTCCAATTATGTAGAAAATACAAGCAGCAATTTTTTAACTAACTGGTCTAAAACAGCAAAAGGGTTCCATTATTGTGGCAAGTGTTACGCTTGTAAAAAATACAAAAATAATCAATAAAAAGAAAGATAATTTTATATCTAAGACGACCAAAAAGTCTTTTAACCTTACCTCTTTTATTACATGTGAGTCCAGTAACGTTATATATTTATTACAATGTACATGTGGCTTACAATATGTAGGGAAAACTTCGAGACCCCTGAAAACAAGAATATATGAACATATTTGAAACATCAGAAATGGTTTTATAAATCATAGTGTGTCCAATCATTTTTTAGAAAAACACAATTCAAATCCAGAAGAAATACAATTTGTAGCAATCCAACAGGTTAAAACCCATTGGAGAGGGGGTAACACTGCATTTAATTTAAGTAAAAAAGAGTCTAGTTGAATTTTTGAATTACAAACTCTGTGCCCTAAGGGGTTAAATATTGATTTTGAAATAGGCCCTATTTTATGATATTAAAATTTTTTTTAGGGGGCGTGTCCGACTTCCGGCGAGTACGGACGCATGGCTTGAGAGCTCCGCCGAAAATCTAGCCTGACAGCGACAACAGAAGCAAAAACTGCACATTTGTCCACCCATCCGCGCTCCTAAGGTATTACCCAACGACTATGTCACCCCCCAAACAGCTGAAGATCATGGACGCGGTGAAAACCCGGAAAAAAGACCGGAGAAAAGACAAACAAGATGGCGGCGACACACCTGGCTTGCCGGACGACCAGTCAGATGCTGAATCAATCTCCTCCAAACTATCGGACTCAATGATCACAGAACGAAGTCTGCATAGAATGCTGCAAGACCTCCGCTCTACCATTAGGAAGGATTTCCTACAAATTGACAGTGAACTGAGGAAGGAAATTTCAACACTGGGCGAAAGAACCAGCCATCTTGAAAACAAATCCGACGAGCTGTGTGTAGCTCACAACGAAGTTGTTGATAAACTTCAGAAACAGACAACAATACGCTTCAATTAAAATTAGCAGATCTAGAGGATAGATCCAGAAGGCAGAACGTAAGATTCAGGGGTATACCGGATGATATATCCCACGATGCTCTTCCTGCTTATATACTATCTATTTGTAAAATCTTAGTTCCAGACTTACCAGACTCTGCATGGACTTTTGACCGCATGCACAGACTTCCACGCCCGGCACGTATGGCGCAGGATGTCCCTAAAGACACTATTGTGAAGTTTCACTACTTTGCACACAAGAACACTCTGCTCAACGCAGCAAGGAAGGCAGGCACTCTACCTGACCCCTTTCAAAATATATTCTTATTTGCTGATCTATCAGCTTCCACTATGGCACGTAGAAAAGAATTTATAACCATCACCAAAACCCTACGCAATAATAATATCTCCTACAAGTGGGGTTACCCAACGAAACTTCTGGTCTGGAGACAAGGCAGAACACTGGTTATAACCGAACCAGCCGAAGGCATGAAGATAATCACCTCCTGGGGGCTTTGGAATGCAACCACGACAACTTCACATGCCGCACAAGCAACAGACCTTTCCCCGAAGAAACTTCAAGCGGATTGGAATATGACGGGATCGTCTACTACAAAACCATGAACTGCCTTTTATCTCAACATTCGCGGGAAGCGATGAGTATAACCTATACTGCAATATGCTGATAAGTTCTCAAGTTAAATTGTTCTCTCTTTATTCTTTACTGTGTAATATGTCATTACGTTTGCATTGAATTTCAGCATAATTGACTCTAAAACTTAGTTAAGTTATATGCCTTAACTCATTTTTTACTAGAAATTGTCTGAATAATATATGCTTAAGGAGTAGATACTATGAAAATGTGGTAATGCATAAATGTACACGCCTGATATGAAGTGCACATTGCGACATGGACCCTTTCAGATGCGCCTATTAGCCTGGTTATCCGTGATCGCTCACGGTCACCATGTGTCACTTAGTACAGATTCTGATTTTAATTGCGGGTGATAATTCTAAACCCGGTACTCCTGTACTTGGATTGATGTCCATAAAATGGTAGATTAACATCATTGCACCTAGTACATGCAGCATTATAAGTGCAATTACCGCCTATCTGATTATGAGCGATTAGACTAACTTAAAACCGCGCAACAATATACTACCAATCCCAACTTACTTGTTAGAAGGAATGAGCATACGCGCTTGCATCACCCAAAAGTTTATTAAACACAGTATTTTTCTTTAGCTTACTTTATGTTCCTTCCTTGGATAAATTCTAATCTATGACTTTAAAACGACAAAAAGCGTTGCAGCTGCATGCACCATGTCGCAGGTACACGTTCCCAAATACTAGCTTTCACACGTGCATATGCTCTGACTGTATATAGTGCTGGGCGCCGTATGCAGGTTAGAAACATCAACCCTTCATCTACCAGCACACGGTGCAACCCGCCTTATTTTATTTATTTTACTTTATTTTATATTTTTTATTTATGTTATACACTTTATATTCGCTAGTCATGTCTTATGGTTTTACAATTTAGTGGCCAAGTCCTATATTCAATGGGAGAGGAAGGACAACACAGACGATTGAGCGTAGACGAATCACTATTCGGCAACGTCGTCCTTCCCAAACCCCCCCCCCCTCTCTAGCTTAGTATCACCACTACCCGGTTTTCATGCTGATACCACTATCCCGTGTTTCATGTCACGCTCTAATAGAATTCGGAAACCGTTCGCCTGCCGAACGCATCCTCTAGCTCTGGTGACACGTTAGCAAATATATGAATATTGCCAGTTAGACATTAGCTCTACCTTCTTCACTCTTCCAGGCGTTGTAGTTCCTGCCACATTGGATCTCCTCTCTTCTAATGATGTTTTTGTTACTTTTATGCATCCTTACAAGCAGTTACTCACTGTTACGCGATTCACATCAGGCTGGAGGAACTCTCTCTTGCCCCCCAGGTCATGGCTCGAGACACTCATAGTGGTCTCAACATGTCCACTCTACACCTTCTCTTCAAAGAAGGAACCTTTGTATATAGTTATGTATTTCTTGTTAAATCCCTCTCTCTTCCCTTCTTCTCCCTCTACTTGTTACCCTCACATCCGAACGCATCACTAAGAAGCCCATCCGTATGCCTTAATGGATGCAATGCTACACTTGATACTACTGGCTCTACTTCTGTGGAAGTGAACGTTCAGCTTGCCCCTCATACCATAAGGACAGGACACCTAAGCGCAGCCACGAATGCTACCCAATCAATCAATGGCTAATACAATGAAAATTTTATCTCTCAATGTCAAAGGCCTCAACAGCCCGTACAAAAGAAGACAAGCTCTAAAAGACATGCACAACTCCAATGCCGCTATAGTATGCCTTCAAGAAACTCATTTTTGCAAAAAGAACCCTCCTAATCTACGATCCTCCAAATACCCCATAGCTTATCATGCTTATGCGCCAAACAAATCAAAAGGTGTAACCATCCTACTACATGCAGACTGGGTATTCACCCCAACCAACCAACATGTTGACCCAAATGGGAGATTGCTAATTATAGTGGGAGACCTTAACGGAATCCAAGTGACGATAGCGTCCTTATACGCACCAAATGAGGCTCAATTCTCCTTTCTCAACAAAGCCATAAAGAAAATCTCCTCACTAAAACAAGGACATGTTATAATTTGCGGTGATTGCAACTGTACACTAGACCCTACATTAGATATTCAACGTGCCAACGATAAAAAGCCTAACAAACTAACCATCCACAACAGCAAATCATTTTCCAATCTTATTTTCTCTCACGACCTCTATGATACGTGGAGAAACCTATTCCCAGCTGCTAAGGATTTCACTTACTTCTCTCCGGTCCACTTAACATATACCCGAATAGATATCTGCTTGATAGATAAATCCACATTACCTCATCTTTTAGATCAAACGATAGGGACCAGAACATGGTCGGACCATGCCCCAATAATTATCACAATAGCAGTGCCTTACCCAACGAGAGGCCGAGGCAAATGGAGACTAAATGAGTCCATTCTTGACACACCTTCGAATTTAGAGAAGATTGCCCGCGAATTGCAAAACTATTTCGAAATCAACACTACAAATGATACATCAATAGAAACCCAATGGCTCGCTCACAAAGCGGTGATCAGAGGAGAATTTATCAAAATAGGATCAATCAACAAGAAGAAATCTCATAACCTACAACGAAAGTTGCTCCAGAAACTCACGACTTTGGAAAACGTCAACAAATTAACCCCTTCCCGCAACACGACGAAACAAATAACAGAAACGCGTGAAGAGATACTAAAAATTAAGGTCAAAGAATTCACCATGAACGCAGCTAAACTTCAACGTCACTATTATGGCATGGGCAATAAAGCCGGAAAATTGCTAGCAAACCAACTGAAATCCAAATATCTTCAAACGAAAATCCCATACATTCTCTCAAAGTCACAGATAAAAATATATAATCCTACTGACATAGTGAACGAATTAGCATCTTTCTATGAAGAACTATACAACCTAGACGCAAACGAGAATACGCACACTCCAGACAAAACAGAAATTCTAACCTATTTAGAAAAAATACAATTGCCAAAAATTTCACAACAACAAAATAACACGATTACTGCCCCGTTCACGGAATCCGAAGTAGCTGCGGCTATCAAATCTCTCCCCAGGCATAAAGCCCCAGGCCCAGACGGTCTCCCGAATTACTATTATCTTAAATTAGAACCATACCTATCCCCGCACATAACCAAACTTTTTAATAAAATAAAAGAAACTGGCCACTTCCCTAGAACCATGTTGGAAGCATACGTCATTACCCTACCCAAGCCGAATAAACCACCCACTACCTGTGGCAATCTACGACCAATTTCGCTATTAAATGCTGATGTGAAGCTCTATGCAAAACTTGTAGCCACAAGATTGAAACCCTTGCTATCTACCTTGGTTTCGGAAGAACAAGCAGGCTTCGTGCCTGGCAAGCAGGTGGGAGACAATACCAGATTTTGCATGGACCTCATCGACTGGGCAACTCGTCAACGTGTGTCCGGGGTCTTAATGGCCTTGGACGCAGAAAAGGCTTTTGATCGCCTTAATTGGACGTACATGGAGACTGTTTTACAAGCTTATGGATTCTCGAAAACCTTCATTACGAGCATTATGGCCCTCTACTCCGCGCCATCGGCGAAAGTACTAAACTCAGGATTCCTATCTAAAAGCTTTGATATTTCCAATGGTACGAGACAAGGGTGTCCCCTATCCCCCCTCATATTTATCTTATGTTTAGAGCCTCTCATACGAACAATCAAACAAGACCCCTTACTGCCAGGCTTTACCACACCAGCAGGGGAAAAGAAGCTGGCCTTATTTGCGGACGATGTTATTCTTTTTTTAGCAAACCCTAGAAGTGCCATTCCCCATCTCATGTATACTCTTGCCTCATATGGTAACTTGTCATTTTATAAAAACAACATCAGCAAAACACAAATACTCCCTCTGAACCTCGAACCCCAGGTCACAGCCGATTTGAAATTACAATTCCCCTTTGATTGGCGCAAGACTTCCGTTACGTATTTAGGTATCAAACTCACACTATCACACTCTCAAACTATAAAAGAAAATCATGAGGCAGTCCTACTGAAAATATCCAACCAACTGAAATCCTGGGATAATTTGAACACCTCTTGGATAGGAAGAGTGAATTCAGTTAAAATGATGGCGCTCCCTCATATTCTATATCTCTTCAGGACACTACCCATCACTCTTCCCAAATCAATTCTTACGAAATTCCAATCAACTATCAACGCGCACATCTGGAAAAGAAAACCTCAGAGAGTCGCTGCTCACTCCCTATGGAACCCCATCCATCAAGGTGGCCTGAGCGTTCCCAATATCACAAACTACTACAAAGCATCCACGCTAGCACAGAGCCTGGACATTATGTCAGGAAAAGCCAGCCCAATTTGGCTTCAACTTGAACAAGCATGTAGCCAACTCCA